ATAATAATAATAATAATAATAAAATTTATTGCCATTCTTCACAAATTATAATGTACATAAATTAATTAATCAATATATTGTCCATTAATCGTATGCGCCTGGCAATAGGTACAAACTCAGCTTTTGCTGGACTGATGTTCGTTCAGCGCTGATTTTCAGTTTGCACCTACACGGGGCACCGTTTCATTATCAAATATATATATTGATGTAGATATTACATAAAAAATAAAAGAAAACAATACAAAAACTAAAATAAACAAGTATAAAAACAATGAATAAATGAAAAAAAAAATAGAACAAGAATCCAATGTACCAAATTAGTGACAAGAAAAAAAAAAAAAAAATCCTTAATAGTGATATACAATTTTCGATGCACTACATTCGATGACGAGAGCCAGCTCCACGATCCGAGGGTTGCTTCCGCATAAGTAAAATCCTTTTCTTCATTAAGTTTTTAAAATGTAATGGTGTTAAAGGTTGGTGTAAGGGTGGAGGCAGGTCGTTCCAAATTTTTGCGGCTGTAAATTTAAAACCTCCTCTATAATTTGCAGATCTGTGTGGTGGAATTTTTAATATATTTAATCTGCACTCTCGAAGTCCTCTATGATGTCTATTTCTAACCCAGTCCAGTTTCTCGTACAAATATTCTGGCCGTCCACTATGAACAATCTTCTGAACAAAACAAGAGAAATGAAGCTCTCTTCGTGAAGCCATATTCAATATATCATTTTTGTTGTAATATGGTGTATATATAATTCTCTAATTTATTAAGACCTCTTAATTTCTCATTACACGTAGGTGGATAAGAAGAATAATTAATTTAATCTTAATGTGAGAAATTACAGGGCTGAAATTATTATCTAAATGAGATTTAAAAAATAAAAGTAAATAAAAAATATAATAAAATGTATGTAATAAGTATCTAATTATGTCGTAAAAATAGTGAAACAAAATTAAATAAATGTTTCATAAATCTTACTGAAAATTTTTATTACCACAATCATAACCAATCAAATCGGTATACCATTATTGGGTACGCATATATACCAATAGGTTACCAAAACCACAAACAAATAAATCTATGTGGCAGTTTTTGTTTATAATAATTTGTTTGAGTATCCATAACAACAATAATATATGCAAATAGTAATATTAAATATTTAATTTCTATGATTTATCCATTATTAACACAGAGACAAGATATCAATTAAGTATTTTAAATCATACAACCGATACCCATAGGTGGGTTAATAAAATGTTACTCAACATAGGTACCAATCTGAAAATATTATTGTTAATTAACATTCCAACACTATTTATCGAAACAGTATAGTTACGGGTAAAATTACGATGTCACATTTCTATTCGCGGCTCGCCTCGAAAATCTACATTATTATTATACGCTGATAAATAAAGCAATTTATCGTTGAACGCAAAATTTATTGTATGCCAGCAACATAATATTCGAATTCGATAATCGGCACACAGTACATACTAAATCGGATTACGGTAATTTATTGTTGGTATAACTTTACATAACTAACCAGCGAGACGAGTTGGCGTTATTAGAAACGCATGAAATCCAACAAAAGTGAACGAGTGGCGTCTCGCAGAACGAATAAACGATTCAAATGCTAATATATCACAAGGCGGTCGCTTCGTGGTGCCGCTCATTGGCTATGCTATTTACATTAACATATATAACCGTGTTCGCCCCGCCTACCGCGGTGCACGTCACGCGCTTCCGAACGTCATTAATTACACGTAATTAGCGTATCGTGACTTGTGTACTAGAAATATTTAGCTTGCGATGCGCGACACACCTACAATCGATTATTCGAGTTTCACGACAATGTAACTCGGTTTGACATTCGAATTCAATGGGTATATACGATCAATGAAAGTAATGTACTATGTGTTTATTGCATACAAGGTAATTAAGTTAAAAGTAGGTCACGATATAATTTTGACGCGAGCTGTATTGGAGAGTTCAGAAATATGCTATATTTAAGAAACCAAAAAACTGTGTTATCTAAAATAAATTGTTTTATCCTAATAACAGATAGTTCTAGAACAGATAAGCATTTTATTTGTAAACAAAAGCATGATTAAGGAAAAAATAAGACACAATTGCACATTGCAAAGGAAAACGAATATAAATATCGATCGGCTGTTTCTGCCAATTCCCATGTGAAAATGGTACATGTTTGTAGATATGCATTTGATATATGTTATTTACATAGTATTCGAATAGAATGAATTATCTCTTTGTAACAAGTTAAGCGAAAGTAAGTAGATACAGACAGTAATAGCTATTGTTCATATTAGATTTACAGTTGTTCGTTAAAATGCATTCTTTATAAAGTCAAGAATCTATGTGATGTTAATATTTTAAATTTACTCTCATAAGTTTCTTACATCATAAGTTCAATACAGACAGAAAATATTTATATCCAACCCCCTATATTATTTCGTACCCTATTATAAAATGGGTAAACCTTTCATAATCCCATTAAAATTTCAAAATTTCATTCCATCATATTAGCCGTTTACTGTCCATTGCTAAACAGAAGCATCCCCTATAAGGGAGATTTTACCAGTAGTTGCTACGCTTGGCAGACGGATTGGTAACCGCAGATCGGCATTTAGTGACGGCAAGAGGGACGCTGCTGTCCTCAAAAGATGGTTTTTACATTCCCTTAGAGCCTCTTATGACACCCACGAGAAAGGAAGGTGTGGCCCATTCTATGCCGAAACTAAATAGTAATAATAACTTTAGAAATACATATAACATTAATAATGGACTTGTTATTTTTTTATACAATGAAAGATGGTAATCGAACGAATACTCAACTTCATGATAAGCGACAACCAAAACCCATAATTTCTCATAAGAGGCATCACTCGCAGTCAATCCTCGTCATAAAGAAATTGATTCATACGCGTATAATACACAATCATTCGTAACTCAGACATTAATCACAGCAACTAAGTTTGAAAGCAAAATTATTAGATGAAGCAAAAATATCAGGACGACAACTTTGTGTAATGTCTTCCTAAGCTATTTTCGCTGTAAAATTAAAGACAATTTGTGAATGGTAGAAATTGCCTTCAAGTTCACACTTCCTGCGCTGACTGCCATTCGTATTGTTTTTCCATTTCGTATTCGCTAGAGGCCACCGATGGCCCAGTCCGTAGTCACAAATCATAAGCACCAGGCAGGGAATCACGAACGTGCCAAATATGGCACCACGAATGTCAACTTCGACCCTAGTTCCAACGATTTATGCCGAGTGCTTATGGTGCAAATTAGTCGCACGTCGACGTAGGCGTGCACACACAAATTTGTGCTTTTTTCTTTTTTGAAAGGTTACAAGTTCAAAGTTACATAAAATTGAACATTTGCGTAACTTTTGAGCTTGTTTATTACGAGTGCCAAAGGAAAAAATAAGAAAGCTGCAGACAGGAACTTGTTTTCATTTTGAGTTTAATAAGATACATTACTAAATACCTACAAAAGAAAATTTTAACCAAAATCTCTGTATTAAATGATATTCCTTTCATAGTCAAGATCCTATAAATATTTTATATCCTTTTTTAATATTAAGTCACTCATCGCATTAACTTACTTCAAACTATATAACTAAATAAAAATCTTTAAAGGTTGAAGAACATTTTTAATATGAATTTCAAGATCTATATTTCATAACTTCGTACAATGCTTAGAAATATCAATCTTTAGCGAATCAAAACCAGATCAAAACTCATTGTCCCCAAATTCCAAAAACGTGACTTGTGCATTTAGAAACAAGCGATCCATCAGCCTTATAAGTGGTAATGAAATCGTAATGTAGTTAACATAGATGGCGGTATCACCTGACTGTATCTGCGCCGGCGCATGCCAACAATGATCGTGACGATACGTGGGTGATGCGCGCACTCTTATCAATCATTTTAAATGAAGTTGTCCAATTTATTGTAGCTTTATTATTATTGATTATAAATTTTTATTATGACACTAGATATAGAATGTGTTGACACGTGGGCAGCAAACGATAGGTGAGAGGGCGTAAAACAATCGCAGTTTACACTTCAATAAATGGTTTCTATTAACATCGATGAAAGATCAGAAGCATCGATTTGATTAATTAAGAATGTTTTATATATAAACAACATAATAGTACATTCACCAAATCATTAAGTAAAATTCTTCCTTACTTCAATGCTGTTATCAGCGGTCGTGTTGTTATACATTGCAGCTTTATTCAAAAATATACGTTTGTAAATGATCTAAGTATTTCTAAATAATTTATAACATTCAAATAAGGAAATTTGAAGAGAAATTTCACTAGTCAAACTCCAATTTACGTAAGTGCCTCGCCTATCTACGATATCGAACAGTTCATTTGCAGATAGTTTATACTTACATATACGACCGATAAAGTGACTTTAATGATTAAATCGGAAACATCGGTTTCGGTAGCGAATGCTCTAGTTCTCGATGTTGTAATATAGAGGGCGTGGGCGTGCTCGGTACGTAGGTGCACTGTTGACATCGATCAGCCACCCACCCTTCTGAATTTCGCAATATAGATGTTTTAGAGGTTTTTAGCAGATTGCTTGATATGAAGTTAAGGTTAAGATATTGATTAACAGGTTTCGATTGTCGTGAATCATGATATATTTCTTCTCGTTTTTGTATAGGTTGATATTAACGTCAGTAATAAGCATATGTCTTTACGTTGTTTTCTCTATAATAATGACGCATTAAACAGCGTCCGACCTTAATATCATCATAATTAGGATTCTAAAAGAAATTACATATGTTTTCATGTCTTAATGTCATAAAAATTATCGTAAAAACTTAAAATCAAAAGGAAATTTATTTCTTCGTAGTTACTAATTTTTTATTTTTATTTTTTTACATTGTAGAAGTGACTTTTTTATTAGATATTGTAGTAATACCAACAGTAAAACTTAATACCAAAATGTTGTTACAGGTCGGTGGCGCACGAGCCCGATGAGCGCGTGCGCGGCGGCCGCCATGCGCGAAAAGCACGCGGCGCCGCGCCGCCTCGCCTCTCCCCCGCCGTCCCCACACGAACACCACAGCCCCCTTGGCTCACCACGCGCCGACGAACCACTCGATCTCAGAGTCACACACAAACGTCCGCCACGGTTAGAAGATGAGAACTGCAATTTAATCACCCCTTCACCGCCGCCACACCCCACGCACCCAGCGCACCCTGCTCATCCAGCTCTACTACAATTCTGTCGTCGGCTGCCATTAGCTTTACCGGCCTCGTTTGGCCGCTACCCGTTCCTCCCAGCTGCAGCAGCAACGTTACTCGCTCCGGGTACACCAAGAGCACCACCTATTCCCCCAAACCCTGGTGCCCCCAGAGCACGGGATAGGTATACGTGCTCTTATTGTGGCAAAGCATTTCCTCGCAGTGCTAACCTGACGCGACATTTACGGACGCACACTGGTGAACAGCCTTACCGCTGCAAGTACTGCGAGCGGTCGTTCTCCATATCCTCGAATTTACAGAGACACGTAAGGAATATACATAATAAGGAGCGGCCGTTCCGGTGTCGTCACTGTGACCGCTGCTTCGGTCAACAGACAAATCTCGACAGACATCTAAAGAAACACGAGGCGGAGAATGGAGACGAAAGCCGTCGGAGATCTCCTGATGAGACATACTTCGAAGAGATCAGATCGTTCATGGGCCGAGTGGCGCCGGCCCGCCGCGCCGCTGCCGCCGCTGCTTCTGCCGCAGACCATACCTGATAGTGGTATGGTCCAAATGCAACCTTCGCCGTTACAATAATCTGGTCGATACATCCAAATGACTTTCGTGTATTTTATAGAACTTTTGTTGATTGTATGGGTTGTTAGAGTACATAAGAGCATTAGATCGCGCAAGAAAGATTGTTGACCATTTTGATTGTACATTCCAAACTAAATTAAAAGTGACCTGATTAGTTAGGTACTATTCAAACACAGTCACTTATACGTTACTTAAAAAAATGTAAAAGTAATATATATTTCCTTACTTAAGTTACTACTATTTGTTTCAATTGTTGCCGTCTTATAATAAAATAGAACACAAGGGCGTTATCCTTTGATAATTTATTTTTACTCAATCATTTATATAATTCAGTCATATCAATATAATCCAAATGTTAAGACAACATTGTTAAATAAAAATTTGTTAAATCTTATAAAAGTCGTTCATATCATACAAAAGGGATCAATTTAAATGTGTAATGTATTTTTAGACGATTAACATGTTGTACACATACAGGGTTTAACATTAACATTTAACATGTTCTTACATCATATTTTAAAAAAGTTATACAAAATGTTACGAATGTATGAAAATGCGGTTCAGAAGTACTGTATATTTTAGGCCCACCGTGCACATAACGAGCGCACACAAATAAAAATGCAATATGTACTCACGTGTACTAATCTTTTCAACCGCACGATTTAGTTTATATTTAAAATATTCATTATAGTTATATAATTTCACAAAGACGGATAAAGCGTGATTGTTGTTATAATTATTTAAACTTATCATTTATTCACTTTTTTGATTTAAAGCTGCATAATTAAACAAACAGATTCATAGGATGCAATAAAATTATCAGTAATCAACAATTTGGTGAAATAATAACTATATTTAATAATTAGATTGTAATATAAAGTGATAATGCATCTCATGTACTTATTGTAAATATAAAGCCTTCGTTCAAAATAGGTTAATAATGTTTAGTGCGCATACCGAATTTTTCACTACCGATAGTAATAGAATGTACAAGTATATTCCTTGTCATAAAAGACATAAATATTAATATTAAGTATTCCGAGAGTGTTCGATAAAATAGTATAATAAGTTATAGATAATTAAATAGATATTATATGTATATAAGTAGTTTCTTTGTATACGTTTCTTTTTTGTAAATTTTGCTTTGATTGTAATATAATTAGTGTATTAGTCTGAAAGGAAACGCCGGTTACCAATAAAAATATAACTTGTTGCTTATTGAAGATATTATAAATATTTTTTTTATATATAAATTGTTGTAGAGATTGTCTAATTGCTCGGAAATTTATATATACTTATATACTGCGTGTTGCGTAAATTATTTCGTTTTTAGTGTGGTGACAGTTGCAAACCAACAAATGTGTTTCCCTGTCATCACCGACATCTTTGTTAAGTTTCAAATTTTACGCAAATTAGATATGTTTTTGTCATATTTTGAGATTTTAAATTAGACGTTGTATTAAACAATTAGAGATTAATAAAATATAAATTTCAAAATGATGTAATCATGCTTTCCAAATTACTAAATTTAAGATAACTATAGAACTGTGATTTTAATTTATTACTGGAAATTGGAATTGTATCTAACACGTTCTTACTTTACATTTGATGATTTGTAAAGTCCATCAAAGAGAGTACTATCATTGTCTAAACGTTCCTTTAAGTATAGATAGATCTCTATTATTGTTACGATTTTAAAGTTTACTATATTTCCTTATTATTTTTTAAACAACATTCATATTAACAATAGCGAAGCAAATAATTAAACGATAAGATAGAGAAATGTATTCCATTATTGGAGACGTAATTTTGTTGATCTAACCACATCTTACCATTATATCGCACAGAAAAACGATTTATATAATGAGAATCTGTCACTATATAATGTTTATCTAACTATGTTTATTAATTAGACCTAAATTACATATATAAAAAATAAATTCAAAATTAGAATTCAATGTTGTTACAAACGTGATTATTAATTTAATATTATAAAAAGTTAGGATGACCTAACTTTTTTGCTTATATTCAGACCAAGCGATAGATATATTGAGATTATGCTAATTTCTTTATACCTAAACATGACTTTTGTCTGTGATAGATACCCTAGCTTTTAATATTTGATTTGAAAAATCTATCTACATTTTCAAGTTACCGTACGGATAAAAAGAATCCAATGCCAAAATCTAATAATTCTAATTCATTTAAAATCTTGAAATTTCGACTGCGTGTTAAAATAAAATTCATCCCTAAGTCTTTGTTTTGCATAAAATAATGTTATCATTTTTAATTTGTTGGTGTTTATTTTTTAGTTATTAATACAGTCTATTTATTTTTATCAAAATACTTCAAAAATACATGTATATATAATATCCTGGAGTTTATTTTTCTTGTCGAGTGGTCTGGATACAATAAACAACAACATTTACCTGCAACCTAATCCTTAACTGATTATCGCACGAACAATTATTGTCCGCATAATAATAATTTAAGTATATAGTGTGAAATCTGAAACATGCCTACAGAATCTCATTTTGTGTTGTTATATATAACAAATTAATTAAATCAAATGTTACCTATCACACAGATATGCCATGCCAACATGTTTCAAGATGCTTGGACAAACATAAGATGCTATTTAACTTATCGTAGAATGGATAAGTAATAGAGATTATTACCTTTATTGTTTTGTACTTTTGATACCTTTTAGTCGATCAAAGGTCACCGATTTACCTTGTCAAAATGAATTAAATAACAATAAATTGATTTTTGTATTTTCATTTCTTATTTTCGCTGCCCTAAACTTATTATGCCATAACAAATATATCTATATTGATGATTGGTGTCATCAACGCTACTCATAATTAAATATTGATATCATTTTAAGACAATTTAAGACAAAGAAAACGCGACTCATTTAATGGTATTTGGTTACCGCAGAGCCTGAATACTAGAAACACCAGAGGAATTGGCATTTTGTTCCACATTTTTATGAATTTTTAATAATTCTTAATTACATGCGACAAAATTACACAAAAACCTGACTGTACAACTTTTTGGCCCTTAAATGCCAAAAAATTATTTTGTGTAGTTTTTCTATAGCTAAGGTACTGGGTTTAAATGACTGTTTTTTGTTTTGAGAGTGGGATATTGCAATGAAAAACACAGACATAATAGCAAGCTGGCAACGCGTGATAGATACTCATATTAATTTGTATGATGTGATATTTCTAATAGCAAAATGACAACGCCTATCGCAGGTGTTATTTTATATTTTGTGATGTTCCTAGTGTTGTTCTTGTCTGTAAGTGACAATTATCACTTTGACTCATAGGGTATTCTGTGATATCCATACTCGTATAAGTATCCATCAGCTACTGTTACCATTTTATTTGTTTGTCATTCTCTTGACACATGAGACATACAGGTAAGATGTTACATTTTAAATAGCATAAATATATGTTTTGCCATACATAGATGCCTCATATTATTTTTATCCACATTATTTTACAACGTTATTTCTATCAAATGATGCTTGATGAGACTATTTCAAGTTACATATCTATATAATATTCAAGTAAATCACCTGTCAAAGTACAAAATATTATTAGTAAATATCTATGTACCAATAAATGTTATACTCGTGAATATATGTAGATTCCTACAAATAGCCCTAGCCGCAATCGCTGGGTGCCGCGGGCGCGTCTCTTGCGCAGACTCACGAACGTTTACGATATGATTATGCTTTATTGCCATTAATTTGCGACAAACGACACCGCCCTGTACCATCGATATCGCTCTGTTGGCAAACCAGTGAATTTATTGTCTTAATTAGATAAAGACGCAAAATTATAGTGCACTAGGTGATGCCCGCGACTTTATCCGTGTGAGTTAGGATAAAAAGCATCCAATTTATAAATTTATTATCTAGAATATATAGTCTGTAAGTGTATAAATAATTAAATATTTTGTTATTTTGATTTAAAAACTAACCTACTGAACCGATTTAGATACAATTTCTAAGGGATTAAACTGTAAGTATATCCTTTAAAAAAGAGTTCTCCAAATCGGTTAAAAACTAACGGAGTTATGGAGTAGTATAGTGTAGTGTAGATTGGACTCTCTTTTCTACGCTTAGTCTCTCATTTGGGCCGTTATGCGTATGAGCCATGGCTAGTGCATAATTAGAGAGTAACGAACATAAAAAAACTACAACTGAATTGAGAACTGCCTTCTTTTTGAAGCCCGTTGAAATTCATTCAAATACATTCAACTATTTACTACCACTTCTTTAAAATAATATTTTGTACAAATATTCAATAGATATATAAGTAGTAACCTATAGTTAATATTGACTTGATATGTATTATTTATTTATTTATTTCCTCCAAAAGATTACAATAGTAAACTTATGACAGATACAAACAATTACAAGAAATGATCATAGTTATAAAACAATATATTTCGGAGTTATAACAGAATATGAATATATTATTACTCCGTCTTCAATTTCATTATGTTTCTTTCATCTCTAGAAAAACATAACAGATACTAAGATAACAGAGGACAATGGACACTGCGGTGCAATTGGAATATTAGAAATAAAACTCAATACCAACCGCTTAACCAGCGAAGCGAAATAATAATAAATTTATATAAATAAGAATCAACAACCGATACAGAAAAGTTCTTGAATGGTGACACCGACGAGCAAATGCAGTGTAGGACGACACCTCAAAATGGAATGACGACCTCAAATACATTACAGAGCATCAGTTCATGCAAGTCGCTCAGGACCGTTATTTATGGCAATCTATGGGAGGCCTATGCTCAGCAGTGAACGGGTAAAGGCGGGTGATGATGATGATGATAATGATAATGATGTAGGACTTATAATATTAATAAGGATATCCTTATATCTAGCTAATACTAACATGAAGTGAGTTTGTTTGTTACATCTCTAATGATTCAACTAATCAGATTCAATTTAATACACTTTTTGATATACACGTAAGTACTTTTTTTTAATGGATGATAATGGAATGGCAATCCCGCTTGCGCTAACGATACACGCTGACAGAGCACCAGTGAGGGATGACAGGTGAAAAAGAAAAGGTTTGGTCAGTTACATCTGAATACACCTGGGATTCAGCACGATGGTTCCCAAGGAGAACCACGTGGAGGTCGACCTGACAAGATATATTGATAGCAATGGGACTGATAATCCGCATTACAAACAATCCCTCTCTACGCGTAAGTACTACAAGAGATGGAGAAAAACATAGGCCACATTTTATCCCGGTTAATTATACAGAACCTATAGAGGTATATATAGAGGTAGGTATATATAGATATATAATAAAGTTGTTATAATTATACGTAATTACTAGTAAGACCCACGGGAAAATTATGGGTGTTGTAAGTCGTGGGATGGGCAGCAGCGTACTAACCCACCTGCCAAGCGTGGCAACTACTGACAAAACCCTCTTTAAGATATATTTACTTACTATAACTCTTATGAAAACGACTCATGCGAATAAATGAATAGATAGTGAATTGTATTTGTAACATTTGAAATCTCAGTACCCACCTACTACAATATCCGTATAAAAAACAACCAACACATAAACTTAATATAGCAACACCTAAATCACGCCTCAACATATATACGAGTACATATGAGGCAACAATTCTAAATCATCATTGCATATTAAATTAATACATAAATCACAAACAAAACTTCTCAATCTTTCTTTCGTTATTTAGTTTTTATTATGCGCTTACGCTTTTTAATTAATATATCTCAAGTAAGTGGTTATTAACTTCAATAATCTCGAGACATTATCTAGATTGGAGATCACGTTTTTAACTGCCGATAGCAAAGCAGTTGCGTTAGAAAGGTAAAACATATTTCAAGGACATAACATTGGCATTTCTTTATTCAAGAATAATGGATACAGTGGCTTACTTTTATATAACAAAGTGGATTATTAGATGCGATATTTTTGTTTCAAATAGTTATTAAAAAAAAATTACCTAAATTTAAATTGCTTTAATTCAACTGAACTTTTTATTGCATTTTCTCAATAAAAATGTATTATCTAAATAAAAATTAAAAAAAAATCTTCTTTACCAAGAAAATTAAAAGAAATTAATATCATATCACAGATCACATGATAAATCATGTCCTGATTACTGTCATCAGTATCTCTGTTCAATATTTATATGAATTTCAGGAGAGATATTTATTTAATTATTCAATTCGCGTCAAGCCTCCATATAGATATTACGAAGACAGCGCAAAAACTTAACACCAAAGATTACCCTCACATAAGTAGTAGTAGTAGAAACATTATTTATATATCTATTTGCGTCATAATTGAATTAATTGGACAACTTATATATGTAAAGCTCACAAGACAATTATACACTTGCGTACAATGTTTCGATATTCGATAACTGGTTAATCTGACTCTAAATAAAAAACATTTAGTTTTTTTTTGCCTAAGTTAGTTTTTTTACCCTTATTTTTACGCAACTTAGAATGGCAAACAAGCTGACGGCCCACCTGATGGAAAGTGGTAACCGGCACCTATAGACATGAACAGTACCATGAACATAACAGAGTACACTGTTTCGCCCATAATACCCCCATGTGTTGCCATTCCTGAGAACTCAGATATTATTCCTCTGTACCGTGTAAATGTACTGCCATATCCCACCCTTCAACCAAAACACAACTATGCAAACACAGCTGCTTCACGGTAGAAACATGAATGGGACAGGGATGCCCAAGCAAATGACTTTTGTACAAAGTCTCCATCTGGTAAAAATATACGAGCTCTTACCTACTTATATACGTTGTTGTGTATATAAATGCAAATTTACTAAATCTAAAAGAGAATCGTGTAAAATACACTTATATAATTATATTAAATCAAGGCACAATTTTATGTGGAGACCTAGTCTACATCCAGAGAGTGTATGTAGTTAGATATCATTGTGAACACAAGTTGGACACGAACAGAATCACTAAGGAGCTGGTACAAATCACTAGCGTCAAAAATAATGCCTTCTAATACTTTTTTCCTAATGGAATTATCATCACATCAACCGTTAACTGTCCACTGCTGAACGTAGACCTCCATTAAAGGAGATTTTGCCAATGGCTACCACGCTTGACAAGTGTTGGTAACCGCAAATCGAATTATACAAGATGTTTATTTACTTACGTATTCTTTATTGCGCCCGTTAAAAAAAATATCAAAGGCATACAATAAAATACACGTATAAAGTACAAAAAGCAGTCTTATTGCCAATATTCACTTTAAAAGTGAATATTGGCAATAAGACTGCTTTTTGTAGTCCTGCTTCTAGCAGTTATTAAGTTTTGATCTACCTTTGCATTCCAAGTATACCTCTTTCACTTCGGTCACGTAATCCAAATTCCCTGATCACCCATAAATTTAACTTTTACGTCACATTTTTAAAATAAGACAAGATTATCAACGACACGACACACCGGCCTTCTTTCCGGTTTTCTTTCTTTTACTATTCTACTACAATTTGTCATAATATCGTCATAGTCGTAGAATACTGACGGACTTTATATGTAAGATCCGTCAGTATTCTACAAATATACCGATATAATGTTCATAAATCATATAATAATTCCTTAATATGGATTCTCTGGTTCAGTATTATTATGTATTCAAACATAATACTGTATTTACAGTTTCATTAACATTAATCGAGACACAGTATTA